CTCCTGAGCCCTCCCTCGGCCTCCCCTCCCCCGACGCCCCGGCTCTCTCCGCGCGTCTCTGTGTCTCTGTCTCTCCCTCTCTCGCTCAGAGGTGGCTCCTTCTGCTGGAAAAGGGAGACACCGCAGCCACACCCTGGCACCTGCCAGGCCCTCTGAAGTTCCTGCGTTCCCAGGTTGCTCGTGCCTTCTCCACACACGACAGGGGCGCTGGGGTGAAGGGAGGCACCTTTGCTGTCTGAGATTTTCTTGATTTCCCAGCATTGACTTAATAATTAACCACGTTAAGGATTCCCCAGAAGTCCCATTCTCGGTACAGCCAGGACAAGAAGTTAAGAGATTTTGAAAAGTGGCTCTCGGGGCACAAAGCTGCAGAGGCAGACCCTGCAAAGTGAATTGTCCTGGAGTCTCCAGAAACGCAGCGGCTGGCCCCGGGTCTCCCAGCCGGGGCGCCCCACTGTGCTGCCCCCACTTCTGTCACCTTGGGGCTGGGACGGGGGCGCTGCGCTCACCTCCTCCAGGGGACTGAAGGGCGAAGGCTTTGGGCAAGCGAATAGGAGACGTGCGTCTCCTAAGCGGGACATCTGTCCCAGAGGAGAAACATTGGGGCGAATTTGGGGACGGTGCAGGAAAATAGAAGGCAATGACATGCTTGCCTAAAGTGGATCAGATTACCCTGCCGCCCAACAAGCGCAGTACAGACCGACTGGGCTCTGCGGTGAAAGTGGCTCAACCAAAACCCAGCCCGCGGCTGACCGCAGCCTCCCCCCTTTGCCCCGTGAGGATGCCGCCTGGTGCGCACGGATTCGGTTCGGCCAGTTGCAGGGACCAGCATGAAACATTCGTCTTGTTTTCTTTTTTTCCTTCTAGAGGGGGTGGGGGGAAGAGAGAGATGGAAACACAGACAGAAAGACTGAAGGAAACTGTTGAAGGGGAGGATGTGAAAGGAGGCCGTGCAGGGCATTTGGCCGTGCAAACTTCGCCTCGTTTGGCCTGCGTGGGCTCTTTAAACTTTAATTTCTACCTTCCTTTTGGAATCTGAAGCGAGGTCAAGGGTGCAGGACTGGTGGAGAAGCGATAGCGTCTATTGCTATGGAGGAGTTAAGATACTGTATCACTGGCCGGCAAACAACAACAACAACAATTATTTCAAAACAAGGTTTGTTCAAATCTCAGGTTCTGGGGGACAGTAAAAGAAAATAATGTTTTTTTTCTTTCTGTTAATAGATTTAGATTTTTTAAATGTTTTCAATTACAGTTTATATTCAATATTACTTTGTATTAATTTCAAGGGTACAGCATATTGATCAGACAATCATTTATACTTTATGAAGCGTCCCCCCTGACATTTCCCGTCCCCGCCTGGCCCCACGCATCGCCGAGTTTTGGACTGTATTCCCTGTGCTGTACTTTGCATCCCAAGACTCTTTTGCAGCTACCAATCTGTATTTCTCAGTGCCTTCTCCTTTTTCACCCATTTGGGGGACTGGATGAAAATAATAGTTGTTGTTTTTGCGTGTGTTTTTAATGACTTTGCTAAGAGAAAGTGGGAGAATCGTTTATTTGCTGTCTATTTTCACACTTAAAGCCACTGATGTTAGAATAAGACATCTTGTCAAGATCTGTAGCAAAGAAGCTTTAAACAATCAAATTCCACCTTCCTGGCACATCATTATTACTGACTTTCCAAAGAATGCTTTCAGTCATGCTGTGGCATGCTTACCACGAGGTACCCCTTTATCTTTTTGAAATGAGATGTTTAGTATTAGGGTTAAGGTTTATTTCTAAAGGATAGTACTAAATCTCAAAAATATAAAATAAAAAAGACAGTGTCTCTGTGATGAGATATTCTTTTCCTATTTAATTCCCATTTATTTCCACTTTTCTGACCACATTTGACCTTAATAAGCATGTGAGGAAGTTAAATAATTTTTCAACAGTAGTGTATGTTACTAAAAGTTTCTCTTGTTTTGATTTAAATTTAAATTCTTTAAAAAACAACAACAACACTCCATGAGAGCATAAAACTACATTAAAATGAATATTCTGTGACCAAATACCTGGAGTAGTGACTACAGATGACATCCTGTATCACCTGGTAGATGACTTATAAAATATATTGCCAGTTATACCTCTGCTTCCACAAGCCCATGACCTATCTCAATCTGATACAGAACCTTAGGCCCATAGCTCCCTGTGCTTAGTTGCCCCTTCCCCCCCACTTATTGGTAATGATCATGACCATGATCAAAAAGGCTTTCCTTTTGAAGGTTCCAGGCACTTTACCTAATTTACACTTACAGGACTCATTTCACTCTTACTAAATTCATATATAACCTCTTTAGAAGAGGAATACAAGAAATGTTAGAAGACCAAAAGTAATAGATTTGTTTTAAAAAAGAAGAAAACGTTAAAGGATGAAATTCTGTTCAGAATCTTTTACCTTACATAAAGTGCTAAGGGATCTTTCCTAATCATACATGACCCAGCCTACAGTTTTATAGCTTCTTCAGATATGCGCCCAAAGGGCCCAAAGTGAATCTATACATCACTTGAAGACAGCACTTCCCAAAATATTTTCTGCAGGCTTACTTCCCCCAAGATGTTAATGGGTTTCTGGGAAAACACTTTTTTCCATGGTCAAATAATTTAGGTAACAATGCATATCAAGGCAGCATCTTGAAGATTCATGGCGCATGTTAGCATATAAAACTTTGAAAGGCCCTGTGGTGATGAAGCTTTTTCAAAAGTGTTCAGTCCAGAACGTTGTAAACTTGTCTTTTTACCCTCGGACCAGCTTTTTCTCAGAACACCCTGGTAACATATTGTAACATATTAACGTGTTGCTGCAAGGAAAAGAAACATTGCCTGAGAATGAAGGGGAGCACAGTATCAGCAAAGCTCACAGAAACGGGGCTGTGGGAAGTTTACTGCTTTTCAGGAACTGTTCTTAGGTGTGTACAGCTTGGATTCTGGAGCAGAGCAGACCTGCATCGGGACACTGTCGCCACCACCATGACTTTCACCGCAGGCGAGTCTGTTCATCGCCAGGCCTTAGCGTTCTCATCTGTAAAATGGAGTTCATACAAGTACTAAACTCAGTCATAGGCTCCGTGGTCACAGAAGGGCCTCGCCCAGCAGTGGCTTTGCCGTGATGATGATGATGGTGGTGATGGTGATG